TTGATGAAAACCAAACTATAACCGGTGCTAAGACACATGCCTACCTACTATGTTTAACAGACTTGGAGAGCAAAAGGGCCGAAGACAGTTGTGAGCCGTGACTTAGAAAATCCACCTAAACCTCCCAAAAACGAATTCGCCGAAAGTTGTTGTAAGAGCAACTCAATCCTGAAGCTGGAACATTTTTTAAAGCCTTGTGTCCAATATGACTACAAAGAGAAAGAAAAGATGACGTTATCGGAAGTGATTTGAAGTTTGGGGGCCACCTCGAACTTAACGCAATTATATTTCAAAGTTGAAGTAAATTAAGATCACGTTCAAAATTAACTTCTTTCATCGGATCAAATATCTCACGATCCGTCTTCGAATACAACTTTGTGATTTTTACAAGTAAAACATCAACATCTTAAGACTAACCTTAAAGGTTTTCTGTCTCATTTACACATCTTGATTTTCAGTAATTCAAATCTCAAACTTCAAGTTTTCGGGCTTTTTTCGCGTTTTGTTCGTACTTTGATCATTAAAATATCCTCACCAGAGGGGCCAGCCAACACCACGAGTATTCACAGAGTTAGAAATATTGGTATACTTGTCATTCATTTTTCGTTTTTCTTAGCGCATGCGCAGAAAAATGCCCCTCTGCTGCGCTGCTGACAATATGCCTTGGGCGCAGTTGCCCACGCCACGTGCGTAGTTTGAGCGTTGCTTACAGGATTTTTTTTGCCGTTTTTTACCGAGTTAGTTTTAGCGAAGGATCTAAGGCTGTGTAAGAAGCAATAACTTCGAATCGTCGCCGGATAGATCCTCATTTGTTATTCGTTTTTATTATCCTGTACAAGAATACAAAGAATCAGACGCATAGAATTTATTCTGCCAAGCGTAGCTGGCCCCTACAGACTTTTTTGTTATATGCTGATGAGATGGTCACGAAATGATATCTAGAAGAACAATTAATAACGGTTGTGAACCCTGGAATCACGCATGCCCAACCAAACAGGCCACGACTCACAAGAATGTTAGGCACATGTTGGAATGTACTAGACTGTCGTTTTTAGCCAAGAACGAGCCAATAACATTCTGTGGAGCCAAAAGGTCATGGATGTGGATGCACGCATGTCATTTTAGTGCTTTTGAATATACTTGCCTTTTTGTTGCTTACTGTGACTTAACAGCCACCAACCCGACGAAATCACTACTCTTTTGTAGCATTGGTTGATTGAATAAATGTTCACAACTCTTCTTAATGTTATTCTTATTAGCATTTGCAGACAAACCCACGAACGGCTTACGCAAATCTACTCTATTATTACTAATCTCATAATGCGCATGAAAAATTTTCAGGAGGCTTATCAGCAGAGGATACGTCAGTCTATCCCTTACAGTGCAGAAAGTTTAAATTAAATTGATCTTCAGGAAAGTCGCGCAAGCAAAACAAAACAAAGTGGCAAATAGTTTGGAGAAAATAACGAGATTTCAATTTGGGGATTATTGGGGAATGCTACGAACACACAAAAAAAGTAAAAACACCAAGCACAAACAACTGGCTAAAAAGTCCGGAAGTCTTGGGCTTCCAAAACAGCTACGACAAAAGTACCATCATTTAAGATCTAAATGCAGATTTAGGAATGTTGTGTGTCGCCATTGCAAGTTACGAGGACATATCGTTCGAGTGTGTAAGAAAGGTGGAGACAATGTTATGGGTTTTGAAAAAGAGCCACCTCAGGGATAATTATCTGAAAAAGAGGAGTTGTATGTGGTGTCTGATGTTCATGTAATGTCCAGATCTGAATTTTATTCACTGCTAAAGATTGAGGACAAGAATTGTCTAATGCAGTTAGACACTGGGTGTGCGTTGTGGGTTTTGCAGGGCCAGTCTCTGGCTGTACCTACCTTGTGGTTGTAGCATCTTTTTCGTCAATCGCTCTGACGAAGAGCTAACGCTCGAAACGTCAGCCTTTTAGCTACTTACGGTGGCCAATTTACGTTTTCAACTGAGTTGTTAACATTAAATCACCAGTTCGTTCCAAAGACGGGGAACTTCATCACTGGCGTGATAGCCATGCAGCTCTTTCCATTTTAAAATCACGCGTATGATTTCAAACCAAATTGCACTCCTCTTAATTCAATTACCATTATCAATCGATGACAATTTCGTTGATCGTTCAATTTCGCCTGGTATTATTCTGTCTGACTCAACTAGAGTTCGCGCGGTTTTTTTCCAGTGAAAACAAAATGATGCATAAGATGTAACTGACATATAAATTTGGATTGACTTGAAAGTAAAGCTTTCAGAGGAAAAAGAGTCCCCAGATCTGAAACACTCCTCGGTTAAGTTGAACTAAAAAAATTCACACTTGCTTAATTAATTATTCGAAAAGATGCGCAAATATTGCTCATAAGACCGTGTAAGTAAGTAAGTCTGTAGTTTCCTTTTGATATGACAGAGATAGCAGTCGTGAAGTAACTATTGACAAAGCATAATATGTATTAAAACTACCTAGTGCATACTCTTACCTTGTCATGATTATTATAAATAGAATAGCTTCCACAAGCAGTCGTCAATACATCGGAAAGGCTCTTCAGACGCTCTGTAATAACTAAATTCCCGCTCAAACTTTGAATCATCAGATACAATCATTGGCCGATCCCTTTGCTTTTAGTCACATGGTTAGTGAATTCCGGCGTCGACAAAATCTAGACCGGACCGGATTGGATCACGGATTGCATCACGGATCTGATCATGGATAGGATCACGGATCGGATCGTGTTATTGAAATTAGGAATTTTGCACGATAAGCGAAAATGAAGTCTGCGTGACATAACGGAGCGCAGGCCCCATTGCCAGTTTTTTTACCCAAAAACCTCTTGTAGTCACTTTCACGGCTGTGTCAAGGAGTGTTGTGAAGTGCCACCATGGACAAAGGGGCAAAAAACTTTCAAATGGGCCTGCGCTCCATTATGTCACGCAGACTCCACGTTTTTTTACAGAACAACCTCCAAAGACTTTGTGCACCTGCTAAAAATGTTCCTCAAAAACACTGGAAGTAAGAAAATGCCTTAAAAGCCAGCAAATTTCGTTTATGCTTGAGCCCGGGTTATTGACCGCATACTTGTGACGTAGCATTTACCAATTGGAAATCGATCTTGCATGTATATTGCATCACCTTAACCCATATGTAGCGTTCACGAGATGAGTTTGACTGTACCACAACGTGGAAGCCATACGAGGGAGTGTAGAACGTGGATGAAACAGCGTAACGCACTTTCTATCTATTTAAGTAAGGTGAGAACTTTTTTATTTCATGCAGATTAATTTTGATCGGATGATAATTAGTCCTTTGGTATCAGAATAAGGCACTACATTAGATCGCATCGTTTGTCCGATCAGACAGATCGGACAAAGTTAGTCAATGTGCGGGTAAGAAAAGTGTCAAACCAAGTAAGTTACTTATCCGGTATCAATCTGCATGGTTACCTCAATCCAATTACTTGTCTGTCCACTTCTTAGCTGAGGTTGAATCATGTATTTAGAACGGCTGCTGTCAATGACTGAATACTTGCAGTAAACTTCATCATCTGTGTTTGCTGTTTCGGCTTCTTCAATTTGATGAATACTCCTCCTAGGTTTCTTGGAAGCACTCTTCACAGGTTTCTGTGTTCTCCTTTGAGATTCTTGATCTCGACTTCTGCACATCTTAGCAAAATGGTTCTTCATGTTACACTTGCTGCATTTTTTTTCCATAAGCCGGACACTGGCACAAGTTGTGGTTTGTTCCGTTTCTACTCTTCATGTAAAATCTGGTTTCTTTCCTTTGTACTTGACAGCGTGTACTGAAGTTTCTATTTCTCAATCAATCTTTTTCAGTTGATCACTGGCTGTTTCTGCAGCTCTAATTATGTCTAAGGCTGTATTGAGAGGGAGAGCTTTCTCACGGAGTAGTCATTTTCTGACTTCATGGCTTTTGATTCCAATGATCAGTCTGTCTCGAATCAGTTCGTCACACAGAGGACCATAAGCACTTTCATTTTCTTGGTTGGCATTGTTGAACAGGTAATGCTCAAAAATAATATTCCCCTGTGGTTCAAAATACTGCGTCAAGGCCTGCAAGAAACTATTAGGATCTGTGTGATCAGCTACAGGCAGATTTTTAGCTATTTGGTAAGTTTCTCTTCCCAGAACTATCTTTTAAAAGAGTTTCCAAAATGACTTGTTTGGGTTTCTTACCAAGTTCAGTTGCTATTTTATAGCTCTCCCAACTCTCTTTAAAAAAAGTCCAGTTCTCTGCCAGGTTCCCCTTGAGACTCATTGGAGGTGGCATTGGTAACTGACTGTACATCATCATCTGTGTAGGTGGCACAATGAGTTGTGCTAGAGGTGCTTCTGGGGGATTCTCCTGCACCGGAGGGTCCTCTTGATTGTCCATTCTGTCAATTCTTTTGTTGTCCTCGTGACGTTCACTAAGTGTATGCTAGGCTCTGGCCTTTCGCAGAAATGCAGTTTCTTCAATGTGTGAACCTTGAAATTCACTTCAAATCTCACAAGTGGCAGTGTTTTAAAAGGCTTCTGGTCTGTCCAATAACACCGCTGGATTCTTTTAGCGCCCGCAATTAATTCTTCTGTCTTCGCTTGGATCCATGAGATTTATCTTCAATATTTGTAATCCACTTCCTGACACCATGAAGTGTGGACGTCTTGTATTCTGCAGCATACACCTTAATTGATATCTGACGGGCTATACCAGCAACTAAACTACTCTCTACATCTAGTTACAAGCTCTGCTTTTATAGGTACGGTTGAGGATCTAGAACGTTCCGTAACACTACAACAGATTCTATTTATGTATTGATTCAGGGATGACTCAGCATGATACAGCTACTTCTAGAACATTCTTGAAGGTCACACTACATTTATGTTATCAGCTCAGTTGATAATACCAAATTACCAGGTGCTATACTTTTCTGCCAACGCAGCACCACAGTTTCTTTAAGAACTTATCCTCTTCATACTCCCTTTCCGTCTAGTTAGGTAAGGTAAGAACTTTTTTTTTTTAAAGAAGATCAATTTTTATCGTAACATTGAAACAGCAATCAGTGAGGTAACCATGAGGTATGAGGTATCATTTATTCCTTGATCAATCACATCAGTCTAAGGATAAGTCACAGTGCAAGAGGACTAAGGAAACAGATATTAACTGACATTGTGGAAAAGATTACTGTGCGAGTGCCATATCAACTAAATCAGGACAAGTATTTTAGAACTACTGCTCTGAGATGAGAAATTATGTTCATTACCTAATTTTAGTCCAAACTTATCATAAATTGTATTTATTTTTGTACGGTGCAGTTTGAATTGAATCAGTATGCTTTGTAAACCAAACCTCAGTCTTTTCCAGGGAAAGTTGCTACTATTTATTCACTATTTGATGTTTCACATTAAGAATGAAGTTGTTTACTTTCAACTGATTTTTCTTTTTAACTTGCTAGTAAACATCCACTAACACTCAAAGATGCTGATCTGCTGGTTATAAGGTAAGAGCAAATTGCAGAACAACAAAAAGTACTTCCCATAAAAGTGGGGGGAGACAGGGGGTCAGAGTCTCCTGCTTCCCATATCACGTTCTCCCACATCCCGTAGTTTTGTGCCTCTTTGCCTCCCAACTCCCACCCTTCACTAAGTTGCTCCTGTCTTCAGGTTAGTCAAGAGGATCAGAAACCTGGGTTTAACATTCAAACTGTTCCAAAACTTAACATTCTTGTTCATTTTCTGACCTTTGCTTTGGCAGGGAGATCATTGGGTTTCAATGAAAGTTATTGCAGGTCATGACTTATGACGTAATTGAATTGAAGGGATTTCCAAGTTCAATGGAATGAATGCTGTTTTTCCAGCCTGAGTACAATTTTACTTTTCTTGCTTCCAAAATTTTCTTTTAAGCATTAGTGGATGTTAAATGGAAAAATTCAAAACTTTGCTAGATAAGTGTTTTTGACTGAATAATACCCAGAAATAAACAACAAACTATTGCCTTCTTTATTTCTGCTCCCACTTCCTGCACCCCTGTCCCCC